GTCGATATAGTTCAAGGTACTTGGGAGGAAATGGCACAACTGGGCAGCGTGCTGGCCGTAATGAGCTGTGGTGTTCTGTGCAAAGCCTTGGATCCTTCCTGCTTTCTTTCCTGCCAGTTGAAAGTGGGAGACGTTCATATTAAGTTCCTTAAGTACTCGATTTGGTTTTACAATAATATAATGGGTTTCTTGAGTGGGATAGGTCCTTGGTTCCCTATTTCTGGATGGTTTGTTAACAGCTTAGGAAATTGTGCAGACGGAGGTAAATGGCTGTCAGCTCAGTGCGTGGGCCAATCATTGAAAAGTGTGTGTTTGCTGATTGGGGAAGTTGTGTGCTTGAGGTTAATTGATTCCTTTTCTTTTTTCTAAAATCTTTTAATTGTGATTTTCACTTTTTATATGGAGTTATAAGCAGCTACTATTAATTCAGTGGTTTTTGTTTAGTTTGTTCTTTAGCGGTAGCTTTCACCTCCCAACTTTATTTCAAGATTGAATCCCTTTAAATGAATCTACACATAATTCGTTACCCATTGTTTTTATCTTTCTGATGAATGAAATATGAGAGCAAATACCAATTATGTGCTTAACAAACTCTGAGCATGTAAATTAAGTCCTGTTTGAACATAACAGGAGTTATGTTTCTTTTAAGACCATTTTCTTAATGTGGGTTATAAGATGGTGTCTTCAAAATGATGACATACCTGGTCACCAGGGTGGGAAAATGGACATTTAGAATGAGTAAACAGAAAAAACACACGCCCAATAAGCCTGGTGGTTAGGCTTTTGCCGTTCACTTGGTTGTGTTGGCATTGTGTGTACATAACGTGGGTGAAAGATTTTTTCGACCTATTAATTTTTTATCACTATGCGGGATATGCCTTAAACATAAGCATTTCCCTTGGCATCACTCTAAGCTGACTTCCAGTGGTATTTAAATGTGTGACTATAAAATACTTCTACTGGCATTTCCTTACTAGTTAGCAGCTGTTCCAACAGCCTCCAAACATCTATTAAGTAAAGAGAGATTTGTTTGGTAACATATATTAATAGGAAAAGTGATCACAAGGCCAGGAGTAAAAGTTTTAGGGGGATTCAAGTACCTTGGTTCCTAACTGGAAAATTGTATAAACAGACAGACTTTCAAGGGCACGTGAGCCTTCAGTTGAATTCCATAAAGTATATTGAGGGTAGCTTAACATGTTTAATTTCAGACATCACCAACAGTAATCAGATAGGGATTTCAGAAAACAATTTATTCCATTTCAATGGAATTTCCATTTTATTAGCTGTAATTTCAAATATGTAAATGGTAGCCAAAGCTGGATATGATTCTTCAGTTAAGATTTTTTTTTTTTTTTGCCCATTGTTTCTTCTAGCATCTTCTTGCCAAATCTTCTGGAGCGCTTGTAATTTCCTCTGTACAGAGCCCAACAGGCTCAGCAGCAGCAGAAGGTAAAAATAATAGATGTGAGGAATTTCTGGAGATTTATGAGGTTTAGTTTTTTTTTTTTTTTTGAAATGTACACTCTGTCTGGCTATGCTAGGACACGACCACATGTGGACTCTATGAATTAAAAATGTTATAACTGGGGCATCACTTACCCCTTGTGAAGAATACGGTTGAGGAACAAAAGATGTTTTCTGTGAGAGCATTTAAAGATTACTGACTTCCGAATGACGGTGATGCAGTAGAGTCGAAAAGATCCAATGAATACTTTAGACCTGAAATTTTTAATCTTGGAATTGGATGTGGATTCATTTCCCCTTGGTTTAAATAAATTAAATTTTTATCTTTCTGTAGCTTCTTAAACTTCTCTGCTTTCCATGTATAATATTGGCGGTGGGTGGGGGATGGGGATGGTTCTATTGGTACAAAAGATCCCAGCAATATCAGCCCACTTCTAATGAAGACTATTGACATCCCTGACACTTGGCATGAAGTACTGCCAGAAAGGAAATTAAAAAGTACAAGCCATTATCCTAAAGACCATCTGTTTATGAAAATAGTTCATTTCACATCGCTTTGTTGAGCATAAAAATGACTCCTGGTGGAGGACAAAGCATGCCTCTCTCACAGCATGATGTTTCATTGTTTGTGAAAATGACCCTTTCACTTTTCCTGGGACTTGCTCTGTTGATATTAATTAATCAGCTTTCATGCCACAAACATCTCAAGCACTCGCATGCAGTTCCGCCTCTGTGCCAGGCATGGCTCTGCGTCTGTCCTCTCACCTGTGTCTTGTTAAAGAGGCGAGCAGGGCATTAGTAGGAGAGCTTCTTGTTCCTGCCTTTGTTTACCAGTGGGGTTGACTGAGGGAAGGGCTTATAATCATGGGTGCAATTTGGTCGTGGCCTCACAAAGTGGCAGCATTCTCAAGGACTTGCACACATGGATCTTATGGAGATAATTACTACGAAGAATATCACTTTAACCTGAGCCACCTTCCGCAGAGTTCTGGGAAAGGGAGAAAGGTTGTCTCCTATCTAAGGCATCCTATATAATAAAACCCTAATATGCAAATCGACCGAATGGTGGAATGACTGGTCACTATGACACACTGACCACCAGGGGGCAGACGTTTAACGCAGGCGCTGCCCCTGGTGGTCAGTGCGCTCCCACAGGGTAGCGCTGCTCAGCCAGAAGCTCATGGCTGGTGAGCACAGTGGCGGTGGTGGGAGCCTCTCCTGTCTCCGAGGCAGCGCTAAGGAGCAGCGAGCCCAGCTTCTGGCTG